CAAATATGTATTGAATTCAGTTCTTTTAATTTACAAGAGTGGCTCTACACTCTTATTCATGTTATAAACAATATTTGAACAAACACTCACTATATGATTAAAAAGGATTTTTAAAAAATTATTATGCAAGAAATGATAATTTTGCTTAAGAACAATTATACTATGGTTACTTTTCACATGTTATTTGTGTCATAAACATCACTTAAACAAACCCTCGTTATATTTATTTATAATATGAGTTGAATTAATTACTTTCTGATTTACAATTATCACAAATAAAAAGTAAAAAATAATTAAAAATGATTTTAAATTTAAAAAATATATTGTCATATATGTGGTTTCGACTCAGTTTGAATGTATAGGTTATGATTTACAAAATGATATTACAATAAAAGATTTATTTGATTACAGTCTTTTTCATCACGATCTTATAATTTATTTTATTAATTTATAGTTTATTTTCCAAACGCAATTTCAAATAGCATTTTAATTTATAATTTATTATTTTTATTTTATTTTTGTCTTTATTATTTTAATTAAAACCCATTACTATCCTTTATAATTTATTTTAATTTAAAAAAAATTATATATTAAATGTCTTTTATATAATTTTAATTTATCAATTAATTGAACTGCTAATTTTATTAAACGCATTAATTAACTTATCAATTATAAGTCATCAACCATCAACTATAAACTATAAACTATCAATCATCAACTATCATTCAAAAAATTATGAACTATCAAATAAGTTATCAACTAACCCTTATTTTTACCAAACAGAACCTTATTTCCAATCAAAGAACTATAATTCTAATATTGATAAGCATAAAATGAATTCAGTGCATAAGGATTTGCAAGTGTAACCTCTAGCTTAAATCTGTAAATCCAGTATTGCTAACCATAAATTAAATATGGTGCATCAAAATTTACAACTATCACCATGCACCCGTTATTTGTACTATAAACAACACTTAAGCAAAAAGACACTATATTTATTTCTAATTATGAATTAAATTAAATACTCTAGGGTTTATGACTGTCACAAATAAATAAAACAAAATAGTAATTTAAAAGTATTTTGAAATTAAACATATATTTTGAAACCCATGTGCAGAAAAAATTGATAACATCTATTATTTACGCTATAAACAACACTTATAATTATTTAATCAAACTAATTTAATTGCAAAAATCAAAGATATTTGACGAATTATCAAACATGTAACCTAACCCATCAAATACACGTACTTGTTACTATCATTTAAGTTATAATTATAGACTAAAAACTATTAAGTTAGTCCTAAATTTTAATTATTAGTAATTGAAAATAATTTTTAAAAAATAAATATATTTTGACACCTATATGTTAATAAGTGATAACATGACTTAAGAACTACAATTTCATTATGAATAAGTTGAATTGAATTTAATGTATATAATTTATATATATTATTTTATATTTATTATTTACACTATAAACAACGCTTATATTAATTATTTAATCAAATTAATTTAATTGTAAAAATCAAACACATTTGAAAAATTATCAAACACGCAACCCAAACTTATCAAATACATATACATGCCACTATTATTTAAATTGTGATTTTAGACCAAAAAACACTACCTTAGTCCTAAATTTTAATTATTAGTAATTGAGATTTTTTAAAAAATAAATATATATTTCACACCCATGTGCGCCAAAAGTGATAACATGACCTAAAAATCGCAATTTCAAGATTGGATAAGCATGAATTCAATTTAGAGCATTGAAATTAACATACCACACCATGCATGAATTATTTACGCTATAAACAACATTTATATTTATCTAGTCAAAATAACTTAATTGCAAAAATCAAACGCATTTGAAAAATTATCGAACACGCCACCTAACCTACCAAATTCATGTACTTGCCATTATCATTTAAGTTGTGATTATAGACTAAAAATCTATCAACTTATTCCTAAATTTTAATTATTAGTAATTAAAAAGAAGTTTGAAAACAATATATATATATATATATATATATATATATATATATATATATATATATATATATATATATATATATATATATATATATACACCCATGTGCGCAAGAAGTGATAACATGACCTAATTACAAATATCAAACACATTTGAAGAATTATCGAACACGCAATTGAACCTATCAAATACAATGCAACTGCCACTATCATTTAAGTTGTGATTATAGATTAAAAATTGTTAACTTAATCCTAAAATTTAATTATTAGTAATTGAAATTTTTTTTGAAAACAAATATATATTTTAACACCCATATGCACAACAAGTTATAACATGACCTAAGAACCGCAATTTCATATCTAGATAAACATTAATTGAATTCAGAGCATCAGAGTTAACATAAGTCACTCTACATTTGTTATTTGCGCTATAAACAACACTTATATTTATCTAGTCAACATAACTTAATTACAAAAAGCAAACCCGTTTGAAGAATTATCGAACACGCAACACATCTCATCAAATACAATGTACTTGTCATTATCATATAAGTTGCGATTATAAACTAAAAAAATATCAGCTTATTCCTAAATTTTAATTATTAGTAATTCAAAATAATTTTGAAAATAAATATATATTTCGAAACCCATGTGCGCAATAAGTGATAACATAATCTAAGAATCACAATTTTAGGTTTTGATAAGCATGACTTAAATTCAGAACACCAGAGTTAACATACGTCACTCTGCATCTGTTATTTGCGCTATAAACGACACTTATATTTATCTACTCAATATAACTTAATTGAAAAATTCAAACACATTTGAAGAATTATCAAACACACAATCGAACCTACCAAATACAATGTACGTGCAATTATCATTTAAGTTATGATATAGACTAAAAATCTATCAACTTATTCCTAAATTTTAATTATTAGTAATTGAAAAGAAGTTTGAAAATAGATTTAATTGCATGTTCGATAAATCTTCAAATATGTTTGATATTTGCAATTAAGTTATTTTAACTAGATAAGAATAAGTGTGTTTACAGCACAAATAACAGATGCAGGTTGACATAGATTAACTCTGATGCTCTTAATTCAATTCATGCTTATCCAGAATTGAAATTGTGGTTCTTAGGTCATGTTATCACTTCTTGTGCACATGAGCATATATATATATATATATATATATATATATATATATATATATATATATATATATATATATATATATATATATATATATATATATATATATATATATATATATATATATATATATATATATATATATATATATATATATATATATATATATATATATATACCCATGTGCGCAAGAAGTGATAACATGACCTAAGAACCACAATTTCAATTCTGGATAAGCATGAATTGAATTAAGAGCATTAGAGTTAATCTATGTCAACCTGCATCTGTTATTTGTGCTGTAAACACACTTATTCTTATCTAGTTAAAATAACTTAATTGTAAATATCAAACATATTTGAAGAATTATCGAACATGCAATTAAACCTATCAAATACAATGTAGTTGCCACTATCATTTAAGTTATGATTATAGATTAAAAATTATTAACTTAATCCTAAATTTTAATTATTAGTAATTGAAAGGAATTTTGAAAACAAATATATATTTTGATACCCATATGCACAACAAGTTATAACATGACCTAATAACTGCAATTTCAGATCTGGATAAACATGGATTGAATTCAGAGCATTAGAGTTAACATACGTCACTCTACATTCGTTATTTGCGCTATAAACGACACTTATATTTATCTAGTCAACATAACTTAATCGCAAAAAGAAAACCTATTTGAAGAATTATCGAACACGTAACCCATTTCATCAAATACAATGTACTTGTCGCTATCATTTAAGTTGCAATTATAAACTAAAAAACTATCAACTTATTCCTAAATTTTAATTATTAGTAATTCAAAATAATTTTGAAAATAAATATATATTTCGAAACCCATGTGCGCAATAAGTGATAACATGACATAAGAATCACAATTTTAGGTTTTGATAAACATGAATTGAATTCAGAGCACCAGAGTTAACATATGTCACCCTGCATCCGTTATTTGCGCTATAAACGACGGTTATATTTATCTAGTCAATATAACTTAATTGAAAAATTCAAAAACATTTGAAGAATTATCAAACACACAATCGAACCTACCAAATACAATGTACTTGCAATTATCATTTAAGTTGTAATTATAGACTAAAAAGCTATTAACTTATTCCTAAATTTCAAAATTCTTTTCGATTACTAATAATTAAAACTTAGAAATAAGTTAATAGTTTTTTAGTCTATAATCACAACTTAAATGATAATTACAAGCATATTGTATTTGGTAGGTTCGATTACGTGTTTGATAATTCTTCAAATGTGTTTGAATTTTTCAATTAAGTTATATTGATTAAATAAATATAAGTGTATGTCATAACGCAAATAATATATATATATATATATATATATATATATATATATATATATATATATATATATATATATATATATATATATATATATATATTCATGTGCACAAGCACCAATAACATGAGTACTAGATATGCTATTTGCGCTATAAACAACACCCGTAGTTATCTAGTCAAAACAACTTAATTATAAAAAACAAACGCATTTGAAAAATTATCAAACACTCAGTTGAGCCTATCAAATACAATGTAATTGCGAGTATATGTGATTATAGTCTTAAAAAAAAATTAAATTATTGTAAAATTGTAATTATTATTATAATTATTAAATAATAATATTATTAAGGAATATGAGTATATAATATGGTTTGTGTAAAGAAAATTATAATATGAGTACTACACAATATTTTGCTTTGGTCTTGGTGAGAAGAAGATTGGTGTATTTTATATTTGTGAAAAAGCTAATACAATATTCTTTCTTTTTCGTCCATCCATTTCCTTTGCTGCAACATTTCATGGGTCTTGTTTCTCCATGGAGCTCCGAATCCTAATCCTCACTCTTTCAAACCTACTCGCTACCACCATGTTCTCTCACCACCACCGGTACGCCACCACTCTCTCTCTCTCTCTCTCTCTCTCACTCTCTCTCTTCTTCTTTCTCTCTCTCCATTTTTTATACATATTTTTCTCCGTCTGTCTCTTCGCTTCACTCTTCGTTGCTCACGTTTCTTTCTTCCATCACTTTCTCAACTTTTTTTTTTCTTCTTTTGGTTCTTTTTGTTTGTTTTTTGCGTAAAGACTTGATTTTTATTGTTGGGGTTTATGATTCTGGAAAAGTTGAATACAATGCTCTTCTCACTGGAAAAGGGTCTTAGTTTAATTTAATTAATTTTTTTTCTGAATTTTTTGATTACTTAGTGTAGTTTATGTGCTATGGTATAGTGTTAATAATGTGTTTTTAATGTAGTATTTATGGTAATAAATTTAAGTCTATGTAACGGTTTGAACAAGGGTTAATTTTTCTTCTTCTTCAAGTAAAAAAATCATTACTACTTCAACAATGTTTTATACGTTTGTTTCTTTGTTTTGTTTATGTATAACACATGAAATTTGTGTGGAGAGTTAAGGTTTCTGTTCTGTAATCGTTACTCAATGTTTGTTGTAGTGTAGAAGTAGCTTTTATCTGTTAGTACTTCTTTTAGTCAAAAATAGGTCCAATAACAATTTTGAAGATTTATTTTATTTTATTGTTGATTAGTAAATTATGATATTCTGGGTTTGTTTGGTTTCGATTCGCTATTTGAATTTTGGATGCTGTGGTGAAATGTAAGTGAAGGAGGTGATTAGTGTTTGCTAGATTTTTTTTTGAATGGTTTATTTGTTGTTAATGAAGTTTTAGTTTGAATGTTAATTTATTTGATAATTGAACTGATTTTTGTAAGTGTTTTTTGGTTTGAATAGGGGATTGTTGTGCAAGGGCAAGACATTCAATTGTTTTGTGGTTCTGTTATGTATCTTCTTTTGTGTATCTGCGTGTGGGCTGTGTTCTACAAATTTGAGACCAAATTCGCCAGAATACGGTGCTTGTGAGTCTTCGGTGAAAAATTGCAATTCGGGTTTTTCAGATGCCGTTGTTGGTGGCGATGGTTTAGGTTCTGTGTTTCCTCCAATGCGCAACAGTTTTCAAAATGTGTGTCCTGATACACATTCAATCCACGCTCCTTCGAGTCTTAAAGCAGCTTCTTTGGGAGGTTCTGGTAATCAGTGCAATGGTCCGTTTTGTGTCGGATTAGCTCAAGCTAGCAAGGCGACGAGTAACATGAAAGGCTTATTGCTATTCCCTCATAATGTTATTCATGTTGGCGTTATTTATTGTAATAATCTGCGCACTGATTTACGTAACATGTCACCGGAAGTATCCAACTTGCAAGAGAACTGCAAACTGGTTATTCTTACGAATGACACAACTAGTCCCCAGGTTGAGATTCTGTGTGAAGATGCACTGAATATTTGTTTTGAGCGTCAAAGGCTTTCGTTTGTAGGAAGCAAAGACAACAGCAAACCTGGTGATTCTGGCAGTACGTCGGCTGAGTATGCAGTCAGAAACAAGGGATTGGCACCAAATGTCAATGTATGGATATCTAATACTGTAGCTTTCTTTGTCTATATTTTTTCAATATATTTGTTGATGAATTGTTTTCAGTTTTATAAATCGAAACTTATATCACATAAACCTCAAGTATTTATAAGTTTCAACATGAATCTAGTAGCATATTTTGTCAATGGTACAGTACTATGCTCATATGATGCATGAAAGGCATGACGTTCTTATGTACGCTCTTGATTCCATCAAGTGCGAATTGATCAGTGGCTTGTTATGTCTTGGTTATGGATTATTGAAGCTATAACCTCAGCGGTGCTAAGACTGCCCTGTTTCGATTTGCTAAGATGTTTAGACCATGGCCAAGAAAGTATACTCCAATGATATTTTCACCCGCTTCTATATCGTTTCTAACCTAATCACCCTTAGAAGACAAGACATGGATGTTTATCTGTTTCTTTGCCCATATGCCTTTCAATAACACTATAGATAAACATCTTGCACATGGAATATTTTTCATGGTCCTCACATCTGTTGGTTTGGCCCTTGAACCTGACTGATGCCAGTCTAGGATGCATAGGTTTGGGTTCATACTGGCTACAAGATACAGAAGTTTAAAGGAAATCTAGGATGCATATTTACGGGTACAGTACTGGGCACAAGATACAGCAGTTTAAGGACAAAGCTAAGTTAGAAACGCTTTTCCTTTTTCCTAAATTACTAATAGTATAAATTTATTATTTTAATATACGATATAGATATAGCCATGAATTTTACTCGCGACAAAGTAATGAGGAGAACCGGAGTATCAGTTAAGTTAAGTATTGATAGATAATAAATAAGCTATGTCTCTTCTTACTTAAGTCCATTCATATATTTGGACTGCTGTTTTTTACCTCTTAAACTATAGTTTATGAATACTGTACCGTTGTTGGGTTTAGTACTTGACTATTTTTAATAAAAAACTTACCAAGTCACCTATATTGTATCCTCTTCAATTTGGGACGCTTCCGTCCTCAATACATGCTATTTCATTCACATGCCATCATCTGTTGTCTAAAACCAGACACCCTAGTCTATATTGTTCCTTCAAAACGACCTCTCTTCCACCATTTGTGTTCGGATGCATTTGTTTTTTTTTTTCATATTCTCTTCCTCTCCTTATCGCTGGATGCACATTTTTTTGAGAACCATACTGTCATTTTCCTATTTGTGCTTCTGCTAAATAGCAGAACTCCTTTCATATGAAAACTTATAAATTTGCTACTTGTATATGCAGGTTACTGAGACCGCAGATGTAGATGCATTAGTTTTTGAAAATCGGGTGTCTCTGCTTGAAGACGTCGAGGTGGTGTTCCCAATGGTTGAAGTTGGAAGTTATGTCTCTAAGTGGATCACTGTAAAAAATCCTAGCCGTCATCCTGTTACCGTGCAGCTTATCTTGAACACCGAAGAAATAGTTGATGAATGCCGAGGTCCGGATGATATAATACAAAACTTTTCAGCTGCTAATTTAGTCATAGATGAAGTTATTTCTGCTGCGAAGTATGGATTCTCAGTGACAGAGAGTGCAGTAACAGAGGCATATGTGCACCCATATGATTATGCAACCCTAGGGCCGATAACATTTTATCCATCCAAGCGATGTAGATGGAATGGTTCAGCGTTGATTAGAAACAATCTCACCGGGATAGAGTCGATACCTTTAAGGGGCACTGGAGGGCTGCGTTCCCTAGCTTTACTCGAGAGGTCTGAGCATGTTCAGAGTATTAATTTTGATCTTCAAATGCACAATCTCCTCAGTTTCTCGCTTTTGTATTCCTTACTTCACATGAAAGACATGATTTCTGTCTGCTCACAGCCTTTCGTGAATGAGATATATGCGAAGAACACAGGGGACTTGCCATTGGAGGTGAAAACAATGAGAGTTTCTGGGAGAGAATGTGGGTTGGACGGTTTTAAGATACAAGATTGTAAAGGTTTTTCTCTTAATCCCGGAGAGTCAATAAAGCTTCTGATATCATACCAAACCGATTTCTCTGCAGCAACGGTACATCGAAATCTTGAACTTGCTTTGGCTTCTGGCATTTTTCTAATTCCAATGAAGGCGAGTGTCCCTTATGACGTTCTATGCAACTGTAAGAAGTTCTTGTTTTGGGCACGAGTGAAAAAATGGTTGCTCGGATTCATACTCTTCGCATCTTTATTTTTCATGGTGTCGTTGGATTACTTGTGCAAGAATGATAGTAACTCCATGCACATCACCTTACAACATCCCGGGAAAACCCCGCTAGTACTACCTTGTAATCAGAGAAAGGATAAGTTATCATCCATGTCTGGTAAAATGACTAATATGGTTTGCTCGGGTGGAAAAGGCACAACCTCTTCGGTTCGCGCCACCTGTGTCAAATATTCATACGGTACCTCTGACCAGGATTCAGAAAACCATAAACAGTTTAGTCTTTTGTTGGACAGTCAAAAGGAAGGAAAGTCACAAACGCCGACAACTACAGTTCAGAGCTCTGAAATTAAAATCAAAACAGGAAAAGAAAAAGGTCGGCGAAAGAAGAAGAATAACAAGAGTTTAGGTGCAAAGTTAACTGCAGTATCTGAAGTTTCAAGCAGTCGAAGCGGAAATTCTACACCCTCATCACCCTTGTCCCCGATCACCCCAGCGCCAACAAAATCTATCTGGCCATTGTCTCCAAATGTAGAGCAACATCATAAAAAATTTCAACCGTCTGCATCCAAGACAAATACATTGGAGAAGCATAGGGTTCCGGTAAATTCCCTTAGTGAGAATGTTTCTTCTCGTAAAGTTTCACATTCACCTTCATCAAGTAATGCTAGTACGCCCCTTAAGATGTTTTGTCCCGCTTCTCCTCCCATGCCGGCTATACCTTCTCCGTCGTCGTTGGTTTCAACATCTAGTATTAGCTTAAGTTTGCGAGCTCCGGGATCGACACTCGACAAGCAAATGACTCTTTTAGCACCAAAAGTGGTAGGAGTTGAAGAAGAGTATACATATGATATATGGGGTGGACATCTTTCAGGGCTTCATTTGTTACTTCCAAAAGATGTTACTTGCATGAAATCTAGTCCTGATGGAAAAAACTTCAGTAGCTTCTTTGTTGGGGAGCCACAGTCAATAAAATAAAAAAATGGCTATTAAAATGAGATACAAAATTCTCTAGTGTTTTCTTGACTTGCACTAACAACATGCTAACATGAAAAAAAACAAGTTTCAAACACTTGAGTAAAATAAATTGATACTAACGCGATAATTTTTTTAAGGAATTTTTTCAAATCACACTCTAAAATCAAATAGTTTTTATGGAAGTGTACTTTTTTTGGGAACCATACTCTAAAATTTAATAGTAATTTTTATGGAAGTGTATTTAGCTAATTTGAGTATATAAACTATAATAGGAAGGATTGAATAACTCTTATTTTTTATACAAAAATAGGATAAACATTCAACAAATTAGGGGAGATTTCAAAAAGAAGTAACACATTTAGGGTAAGTAGTTCACACTACTAATTTTGTTATCTTAATACTAATGAACATGTTAATGAACACTTTTAATAAGAAACCACAAAGCTGCTATGTAATATAAGTAATTTTAAAATATTTTTATAATGTAGCAGAATATACTTCAGTTATTGATTGTCGATGTAAATTATATTGTTTGAAAAAAGTCTAAACTAAATTTTTAAAATTTTAAATTTTCAACTTCATGCTTCATAATAGTTTATCAAATCAACTTGTTCTTTTTGGTTTAAATTTCATAAAAATATAGTACAAAACCAAATCAAACTGATTATTTTGGTAATTAAGTTGAATTTTACACTACTTTTGTAAAACAAAAATATCAAACAAAAATAACAATCCTTTATTTTTTATATACAAATTATTTTAATTTGAGCTTTATAACAAATGATAGTCCTTTATTTTTTGCTTAAAAAATTCTTTGATTTGAACTCTTTAGGAAATAAAACAAAGGGACAAAAACAACTAGGTAGTTTTGTTTGTTTCGAACTGGGGTTAGACTTCAATTTAGGGAATATTTGTCTGTTAGTGTAATAACTCGAGAAATTAGGTTGCTTAAAAAGTTAGGTGTAATAATTGTCCAAAAATAAAGAAATTAGAGTGAAGAATAAAAAAATAGGGAAAACTGATAGGTTAATGTTCCTTTTTAATTGGATTGTTCTCTTAATGGCCCTACCACATCCCACAGCAGATGGGAAATTAATGGTGTACACAAATTGACACGATTGTAGCAACTTGTTTTCATGTGTCATGTGTGCATATATTAGTTTGTATATAAAGGACTAAACCTTTTGTTTTTTGTTATGGCATTTATCCATATGCATTTATCTCATGTTTGGATTGGTCTAAGCCTAAATTGTGAGGTAGTACATATTAGAGTATTCACAACAATTGTCAATTACTAATTAAAAATGTTTAATTAAATAGTATTTTTTTTTGTTGTCCGTAAGACTCAAAAAAAAAAAAAAGGAGGTTCAATTCCAATAAAGCAGAAAACGACAAACAACATAATACGTGGATCTCATTTTTTCTATCGCATATAAATCTACTCTTGTCATCCAAATCGATTTGATGCTTGACCGTATTTCATGTCTCTCACACAAATTTAATTACTAACTAACTTTTCTATTTAAAGAGAAGATTGTATAATTTCTTAAGTATTTAAATTCTTCTCTATTGGAATTCTACTTCTTACTCGCTTATAAACTTGAGCATAAAAGTGTTAACCTAGTAGGTTAACCATTTCTCCACCCCATCAGAACCTCGAACCACCGCAACACAACAAAAATTCAACTTCGCTGATCATCACTTAGTTATAGAGAAAAACATTGGGATAATCTATGGGGATCAACCTTTAATTCTTACAATTTTCACGATCCGCCATTTCTTGATTCAACTAAATGATATACAGATCTCCTTCAATCGAAGTGCAAATCTCCATATCAAGTCATATTGCGACGTCGTGGTATCCGAGCTCCTTTCATGCGATTCCTTCAAAGACTACAACAGGGGAAAATGAGCTTCACTAGGAGCAGAACCCCTCCATACTCTCAAGTTGCAAACCCTGTCACACATTAACAATCAAGTTCGAGAAGAGCGTCGGAAAATCAGGCTAGCACAACACATTACCACCTTTTTACAAAAAGCTTTGCTACCAACCACCTCTCTAAGCCTTAACCGTCCACAACCCTCCACATGGGCTCTAGTTGAAAGAATTCGAGTCATCACATGAATCATCCACATACATTGGTCATGTCGCTTCACTATAATATTAAACCACGCATATCATCAGACTCATAAAACATAATCCCATAACATGAAACGACACCTACAATCAGAGTCTAATTCTCGCATGGTATTTCAAGGTCTGGTTCACGTCCGGAAATGTAGAGTCAATTCTCGTCTGACAACAGTCTAGTTTTCGTATGGAAGTTTTCAAATCAGTTCTCGTCTGGCCCTTCCTCGCCAGTTCCTGTCTGACCATTCCCAGTTTCTGCCTAGAGTCTAATTTTCAAGTTAGTTCTCGTATGATGGTTCCTAGTTCTCGTCTGGAAGTTCATCTCTTAATCATGCTCATTTGATAATTCCCAATTCCCTTCTAGAAGTCTACTTTTCAAGTCAGTTCTCGTCTGACTTGTCTCCAACTCTCGTCTAAAAGTCTACTTTTCAAGTCACTTCTTGTCTGATGGTCACCAGTTTGCGTTTAGAAGTTCATCTCTAAATCAGTGCTCGTCTGATAATTCCCAATTCCCGTCTGGAAGTCTACTTTCCAAGTCATCTCTCGCCTGACCAGTCCCCAGTTCTCGTCTGGAAGTTTATTCTTTAAAGTCATTTCCCTTATGGAAATTCTCGGCTCCCGTATGGAAAATCCCGCCCCCCGTCTGGAAGCTTAATCTCTAAGATGGTTCCCGTCTGACAATCAATTTCTAAAATCTGGTTCCTGTCTCGCAATTAATATTTAAAATTCGGTTCCTATCAGGAAATCAATTTCTAAAATTCTGTTCCCGTTTGGAAAATCGTGTCTAATTCAAATTCTTGTCTAGTAACTCAAATCCAATTCTTGTCTGGTAACTCTAGTCAAGTTCTCAGCTAACAGTCTAACTCCCGTCTGGGTGTCCTTTTCAAGTCAATTCTCGTCTGACCATTTAATCATTTCCAATACTCATCATCTACCGATACTCGTCCAAAACGTTTGTATTTTCATTACAAAGCTTGAACCCTAAAAAAAGAAAAACTAACTCTTGCCTAACATACTCACATTGAAAGATTATTCGTCCATTGGTAACCCTTCACCAAAAGTCATCAAAACTTACAAAGCATCACATCCATACATAATGTCACGTGGAGCATTATGCCATATAAACTCTAAACATGCATACATTACATAGAAAAACATGCATACATGGCATAGCATAGACCAAGGTTCAAGATTCCTCGTAATAGTCCAAAATCAATCCCCAACTAAGTCAGTGATAACTCTCATCTAAGCTTATCCCTAACAATTTTATCACTATACATCTCATGAGTCTGTCATACATAAATTCCCCATCTAAACTAGTTATAATCCCCATGTAAGTTTTTTTTCTGCAAGTAGGCTTATTAATTCCCCCAATAGTTAATTTTCCCACAGAGTCTCCTTTGAAAGATGCTCCCCAACAATTCTTTCCCCCAGTGAATTTGTTCAGGAGACCTATTCCCCACTTAAAAGTCATCTTATGTGACAAATGTCATTCCCACTAGAGACATCGAGTGCTTCTACCAATTTACTCTTACTCTGTTCTTCTCGAAGAACTCCCCAGTTGAGGTTCACTGCTCTGGACCCGTCCAAGATATCTCATTTTCCCTGGCCTCGTCTAGGATATCTAATTCTCCTTGGCTCCTTCCAGGACATCTTATTTTCCCGGGCTCTGTTCAAGACATCTCATTTTCCCTGGCTCCATCCAGGACATCTCATTTTTCTTGGCCCTGTCCAGGACATCCCATCTTCTCTGGCCCCGTCCAGAATACTCTATTGTCGCTGGCCCCGTCTAAAAATATTCCATTTTCTATGTCCCCATCCAAAATATTCAATTTTCTCTAACATCGTCCAAAAATATTCCATTGTCTTTGGCTCCATCCAAAATATTCCATTTTCTCTGGCCCCGTCCATAATATTCCATTATCTCTAGACCAATCTAGAATATCCCATTTTCTATGACCCCGTCAAAAATATTTCATTTTTTTTGGCCCCGTCTAGAATATTCCATTTTCTCTGTCCCCGTCCAGAATATTCAATTTTCTCTAACCTCGTCCAGAATATTCCATTGTCTATGACCCCGTCCAAAATATTACATTTCTTTGGCCCCATCGATAATATTACATTGTCTCTAGCCCAATCCAGAATATCCAATTTTCTCTGGCCCCGTCCATAATATTCCATTTTTTCCCTGGTCCCGTCTAGAATATTCCATTTTCTCTGGCCCCGCCCAAAATATTCTATTGTCTCTGGCCCCATCCAGAATATTCCATTGTCTCTAGCCCCGTCCAAAATATTCCATTTTCTCTTGCCCCGTCTAGAATATTCCATCTTCTTTGGCCCAGTACAAAATATTCTAACTTCTTTGGTTTCGTCCAGAATATTTTATCTTCTCTGGACCCGTCCAAAATATTCCATCTTCTCTGCTCCCATCCAGAATATATTATGTTTCTTTGGCCATGTCATGAATATCCCGTTTTCTCTGGCCCCGTCCAAAATATTCCATTTTCTATGGCCCTGTCTAGGATACCTCATTTTCTCTGGCCTTGTTTAGAATATGTCATTTTCTCTGGCCCTGTTCAGAAGATCTCATTTTCTATGACCCCATCCAAAATATCTCATCTACCTTCCAATTTTCACCTTCCATTCCAGCCACCGTGTTGGTCACCTTCCATTCCAGCCACTATGTTGGTCACTTCCATTCTAGCCATAGTGTTGGTCACCTTCCATTTCAGCTACCGTGTTGGTCATCTTCCATTCCATCCATTGTGTTGGCCATCATTCCATTCCAACCTCTCTATTGGTCATCTTCCATTCTAGTCTCCCGCATTGGTCATCTTCCATTCCATCCCATGCATTGGTCATCTTCCAT